AACCACTGTTATAGATTATATCGCTGTGTAGAAGGGCCCATAGTCATCCATGTGAACAATTTTGGAGTATTTTAGAAGGCCAAAACATCTGGGGACCACTGTTCTATGAGATAGTCATTGGAAAACAATCGCAAAATGTGCTGCAAGATGAAAATGTTTGTAGTTCAATAAACCTTTCCCACATTTTAAAAAAGAAATGACATTTATAACCCAGGAACAAAAATCGTGTTATTAAGAGCCTTGTTTGGAAAACTCTGCTCAAGAGTTTGGACAGCTAGGACATCAGTCCGAGACAGAAAAAAACAATGGAAGTTGCAGTCCAGCAGTTGAGGAGCCATTTGTCTTATCCCCAATGTAACAATAGACTGTATCTATCTGCCAGTCATCCTGACATAGCAAGTAGATTCAGAAAGGAGGACTGGCTGAAGGATCTCGGGTACCTGAGGCAATTCCCTCTTTGTTTAATAATAGGTTTGATTGTGTTAACAAATTATGACAAAGTCCCAAAAGACTACTAGTTTCCACATTCAAGCTGCTCACCTCTGTCATATGTGGCTTGATTTTATGGGTTAATTCTGTAACTTGATGATTATTTACAGTTGAGTTTCTCTGTGTTTAGGAGCCTAAACATCCTGGAGGCACCAGATTCTGTTGGATCTTGGAAGCTAAGCTAGGCAGATTTCAAATGTGGGACCAAGAATATCAGGTGCTGAAAACTAATATTTCAGTGGAAGAAAACAGCAAACTGCCTCTGAGACGTCCTTGCCTAAGAAATCCTATGCAATTTATCAGATGACTATGAGTCTGCGTTTATTTATTTATTTATTTATTTATTTGCTCTATTTCTATCCCACCTTTCTCTACCCTGAAGGGGGTTCAAGGCGGTTTTACATATGGCAACTATTGAATGCCTTTGGACAACAACAGTTAAAATAATATTTTAAATTAAAATAAAATGCCCATTAAAAACATATAAAACATTGCAATCACTATTAAAAATCACACCATCCTTAATTGTAATCCGGGGCTGTTCCAAGAGTCATTGCACATAATTCCATAGCTATTATTGCACTTTAGTTAATCTCCAAATGCTTGAACCCAGAGCCAGGTTTTCACTTTCCTTCTGAAGGCCAGAAGAGGGGATGCTGCTCTGATATCACTGGGGAGGGAGTTCCACAACTGAGGGACCACCACAGAGAAGGCCCTGTCTCTCATTGCCACCAAATGCACTTATGAAGGAGGCAGGACTGAGAGCAGGGCCTCCCCAGATGATCTTAATCTCCTTGGTGGTTCATAGTAGGATATATATTAAAACAGGTAAGCTGGGCCAGAACCATTTAGGGCTTTATAGGCTAAAGCCAGCACCCTGAATTGTGCTCGGTAGCAGACAGGCAGCTAGTAGAGCTGACGTAACAGGGAAGTTGTATGCTCCCAATACACCACCTGGCTGTAGTCCATTGGATCATTTGAATTTTCTGAACAGTCTTCAAAGGTAACCCCATGTAGAGAGCATTGCAGTAATCGATTTGGGATATGACCAGAGCGTAGGCCACCATGGCCAAGTCTGACTTCTCCCTGATTTCTGCCTGAATTTAACTCCTACAATTCCATGCAAAGCCTGGTTTTTTGTTTGGGATTTTTTTTTTGGGGGGGGGGGTTGCCAGACTACAACAAACAGCTGCAGGAATCCCCACTTTGCCCAAGTATGTGGAAGTTGCTTGTAACTAATTGGAAGAGATCCCACTAGTAAAGGATTTGATTAAAAGCTGTTTTTAAAATAGCATGTAAGTGTAAGCACTTTGGATGAATATGAAAGACAAAATAAGCAAAGGATCCGTATCAAATAACAAAGCCACATAGGTCCTGACTGACATTTAGGAAGGAATTCACAGTTTACTTTGGCTTTCTCCCAAGCCTTTGTTATGGAGAAGGAATCTATTTTGCAAAGCCCGAATCTTTAACAGTGGCCTTTGGATTGTTTCTGATTTACCTCACCAGCTTAATGTAGCTGGAAGCAAGATTACTCTGTGTTGTTCCATTTTGTTGATGCTTGGATGATGACCACAGTTGAAGGAGCCGTTTTGCTTGGCACGCACTGCTATTAATGTAGCATTGATAATGACTTAGTAACACGTTAAATGTGCAGCTAGCTGTGAATTCTGCCTCCTTATGTTAATGATTGAACATAAACCAGATTACTATTAAATATATATCTCTAGTTGTATAGGTAAACGAAATACTGATTTTTTTAAGCAGTAATTAAGGTGTGCCAGTCTCAGAAAGTGTGGCCTGACCCATCCACATGTCATTTTATTTTATTTTTTTCTTACAGGCACAGATCAAGGGTCTGCATGAAGCAGGTTACTATTAAGTGGCTGTTTCTACTTACCTGTCTAGAATTTTCGCTTTTTAACAAATGCCATCAAAAAGTGTTACACCAATATTAAATGCAAACATAACCAGGAGTTACCCATAGTTATATGCCTTTTCCACTTAATATAGCTCACAAAGCTATTGGAAGAAGTTGAGATTTGTGAGCATCACCCTGTATAATCAATATAGAGCCGACCTGCACAACCTGGCAGTAGATCGGGACCAATATCAAAATAGGCTAAATGTCTTAAGGCCACAAATTCATTTTTAGCACCCATCTAGCACCAAATGACGACAACTAGGACTCAATAGCATTGAGCCATGGTAATTGAAGTGGCACCAAACTGCATTAATTCTAAAATATAGATGTTCCCATGACACTGAAATGGGAAAATCTGATCACATTAGGGATTCCTATATCAACAGTCCCTGATAATCTAACTTTTGGGCTATAATTCCTAGACTCCTCCATCCAGCAAGGTCAGTGACCAGAGTGGGCTGAGGATTATAGGAGTTGCAGCTCAAAAGTAATGTTTACAAGCTCTGTGTAGACATTCTCTTTGTCCAGATAGGCACAACTTCTTCAGGCTGCAGATAGGCTTTTAGTGCCTTGCCAAACTATCGTTCCTAGGCTTCCATAAAATTGAGCCCAGTTTCCAGAGTGGGTAGAGGCTCACAAGCTTCATTGGCTCCCTCCTTTGGAAGTGTTTGCTTGTTGTTGGCTGGTTTAATTCCCCGGAGGGAATTCTCAGTGTGTCTTGTATGCATGCCGCAAGCTCTTGCATGAGCAATTGGGCAAGGGGAAGAGAAAGCCCCCTTGCTGTTATATGGGGCTTAGAAAGGAGGAGACACGCATTTCTCTTCACATCCCTCGGATCTCAGACAATTCCCACGCTCTCTTACTGCCAGACACAGCAAGCACTCCTTACAAGCTTTACTTTCTTTTACATTCTCTACATTTTTCGCCGCCCGCCTGAAATCCTTTGACAAGCCACAAGTGGCCCGTCAGCCATATGTTGTGCAGGTCTAATGTAGAGGATACATGAGAGAAAAACATTATTAATTATATTTTCATGCGTTGTGAGACAATATAGGATACTTGGGTGGTGTGTTTTGTTGGAGCATGTAAAGAATCAATGAGTGTGTGTCAACTGTAAAATAAGATGTATGAAGCTGATTGGTCAGACTATGCCTGGGGAGCACGCTGAGCCTGGGACTTTTGAATACTGTTACAGTTTTGTTCAGGATTGAACTATGCCGGTGCTTGGAGTAGCGAAGAGGGAGAATTAGAGAGAGAGAGTGTTTGGAGTGTGCTCTCATTTCATGAGCTGCTGAAGGAGTTTATCTACATGAACAAAGAAAGAACATTTTAAATCTCTCATAAAAGGACATTATGTGAGTTGGTACAACTGATCACATTGTACATATGTTGTTCTGAACTATGACGAGTAAATTACTTGTTATTCATTGTTTATCTACGTGCCATATTTTCTTTCTCTGGCAAGACAGTGTGTGGGCTGATCAAACATGGTTTATTTTACATTATGCCACATGTTTTATCTATCTGTGGTTGTGTCTGTAGAGGGGGAGAATGCATACAGCTTGTTTGCCTGTAGTAATAGCTGGCTTATATACCTGGTGTTGCCCAAATGTCGTTAGGACCTACTTTCTCCCGTGTCCAGCTCTGAGAAGGCTTACCGCACAATATCTCCATTTCAACAGTGGACAGCTCTCTTTGTGGTTCTATCATTCCTCCATTTCCCTCATACATCTTATCCCTCTCTTCTGCCTTTCTTTTTTACATCCCTCACTTTCCCTCATACACTTTCCCAGTGACATCACAAAGGGCCACTTCACCTAACGAAACTCACTGTGGTATGTACATATACATACATACTTTGACTTTTATGTATGTAGATAGCTAAAAATAGATGAAACTGTTATCGTGCTATCAATAATCTAATAGTCCACGTTAAAAACAATACTTAACGTCTTTAAAATATGGTAACACTTCACCAGGACGTTTTTCTTTCTAAGGTGCATGGGTGGCATTTGAGATGTACTGACACGAACTGATTTTGATCATGCATACTTACCAAGAAGCAAACCATGTGTATCTTGTATCTAAGTAAAAATGTATAGGATTGGACTATTCAGACTATCTCTGAATGCCCTCATGACAATGACTAGCTGACTAAGGATGGAAGAAGAGAAATGAATACACAGCATCTGCTTTATTAACTGCTTAAGCAGGGAGGACAGGAAGAAAAATGACACACTTATTTATATTATCTTTCAGATTTTATAGATATATATATTAGAGACATCACATAACAAACATCCTGAACCAGAATACAACAAAACCAAACAATAATTAAAATGTAAGAACAAAATACCTTGTGTAGATTGTACCAGACCAAACTCTTTCCTCCTCCCATCACAGCACAATATCATGAGAATTTTGGTGTTAGATATTAACATCATTTCACTTAAGTCTTTAAATAAGGGTGTGTTTACAGTGTTGAATAAAAGTAGTTTGACACTATTTTAACTTCCATAGCTCAATGCTATGGAATCATGGGAATGGTAATTTTATGAGGTCTTTAGCCTTTTCTGCCACAGTAAGCTGTTGCCCCGCCAAACTATAACTCCCATGATTCCTTATCATTAAGCTATGGCAGTAAAGATGATGTCAAACTGCATTATTTGTACAATGTAGATCCCCCTTGGGTTATAAGCCCACTAAAAAGCTATTGCTCCTGACAACTAATGCCAGTTTGAGGGGGCAACAGTATTTAAATGAACTGAACTCTCACTTAAACTAGATGTTCAGAAAGAGAAAAAGAAATTACGGTATTCTTCCCCAGTTGTGCTCAGGAGATGGCGTAAGGGAAGAATTAGTAAGTCCTCCTTCCTACAAAGGGTGGCTGAGAGGAAAGAATTGCAAAAATTGCCAACTGCCGATGTGACACTGCTAGGAAAATGTCATGCTGCCTCAAATATAAAAATAATCAGAGAAGAGACAATAATATCCTTACAAGAACAACTGTACATTCTCAGTGCAAAGTACAGCCTTTGTTTGATCATCATTAAATGCCACAGTGCAGTATGTAACATGCTTTGAGGATATGAATGATTTTTGTCATACTTAAATATATTAGCGCCTTATCATTGGGTTGCTCAAGGATCCCAAATACTGTCGGATTATAATTTTAATTGCTATATATACATAAGTATATAAAACTTTGGTCGCATCCACACTGTAGAATTAATACAGTTTGACACCACTTTAACTGTCAAGACTCAATGCTATGGAATTCAGGGAGTTGTAGTTTGGTGAGGCATTGGCACTCTTCGACACAGAAGGCTATAGACAGGTGAAACTACAGCTCCCATAATACCATAGCATTGAGCCACGACAGTTACTAGTGTCAAACTGCATTAATTCCATGGTGTAGATGTACCCTTAGTTTAGACACACATTCCCCTTTCCCATCCCAACATGGAACATAACATAAAATACTTTTTCTTCAAGTACTACAAAGCTAGTCACTACATTTATCTATACTGTAAGAAATCTTTCAGTATTGTGGGCAACTGGAGTTGTGGTACAAGATGCAATCTGGCTCTCCCGATGTAGTTTCGAATGCGTAGCCGGCACAACTGGCAAAGAGAACACGGAGTAGCTGAAAGGGAATATAAAGTGGAAATTCAATGCCCTCAAGAATTTACAATGCATTTTTTACAAAATTACAGCTTTCTGTAGGACATGTGAATTGATATTTTAACAGTGTTTTTGATAGAAATGTTTCAGCTTTCTATTAATGTGCCCTCCAGTTTTTCCAGGATTGCTCCCCCACTCGATTTTATAGCAGTCACCATGAGAAGCACTGAGGAATTCAATGAAATAATCACCTAAGAAATCTCTCTGTGAAAGTTCAGCAAGAACACAATGGAAAATGGCTAGTAATTGAAGATAAGATGACACTGAGAAAAATAGAGCATGCAGAAATCGGTTTCCCTGGAAATTAAAATGCTAGAAATGTAAATATTCATCATATAGTCTGGAATACAGAAGTTAAAGGGCAAAGTTGGTTAGTCTCCCATCTTAATAAATAAGATAACACCAAGAAAGAGAAGTATTGGGTCTCTGCAAAATTAATCCAAAGCCCAGCAGAAGTGATAGAAAATGAAACACTTTTTCTCAAGCATCTGTCATAATTACTACTGAAGTGGTTATACACACACACACTGCCTAGAAATCATAAGGAAAAAGAATCCTGTCTGATCTTGGAAGCTAAGCACTGTCATCCCTGGTTAATAGTTGGATAGGTAAAAGTTTCCCCTGACATTAAGTCTAGTCGTGTCCGACTGTGGGGGTAGTGCTCATCTCCATTTCTAAACTGAAGAGCCGGCGTTGTCTATAGATGCCTCCAAGGTCATGTGGCCAGCATGACTGCATGGAGCGCCATTACCATTCTGTCAAGGCAGTACCTATTGATGTACTCACATTTGAATGTTTTCAAACTGCTAGGTTGGCAGAAGCTGGGGCTAATAGCGGGAGCTCATCCTGCTCCCCGGATTCAAACTGCTGACCTTTTGGTCAGCAAGTTCAGCAGCTCAGTGGTTTAATCCGCTGTACCACCAGGGGGCCTAGATGGATGGAAGACTGCAAATGAATAACAAGTGCTACCGTATATGCTATATTTCAGAGGAAAGAATTGGCCCAAACACCTCTGAATATTCCTTGCCTTAAAAAAAAAACCACAATGAAATTTGGTAAGTCACCAAAAGTCAGCAGGTGACTGAGAGCCCTTCTAGGTAAAGGTAAAGGTAGTCCCCTGACATTAAGTCCAGTCATGTCTGACTCTGGGGTGTGGTGCTCATCTCCATTTCTAAGCCGAAGAGCCAGCGTTGTTCGTAGACACCTCCAAGGTCATGTGGCCAGCATGCATGCTGGTCGCTTCTGTGGCGAGAGAATCAGCCATCTACGAAGACGTTGCCCAGGGGACGCCCGGATGTCTTGCAATCCTGCGAGGAGGCTTCTCTCATGTCCCCCCCAAAGGACATTTAACCAACTACCAAACTCACAAGATGTGTATTTTTCTGTCTGTTTGCTTTGTTCTGTTAGAAATGTAATATATAATGGACTGGTTGCTCTGACATGACAAATAAAAAATGTGGCCGGCATGACTGCATGGAGCGCCGTTACCTTCCCGCCGGAGCGGTACCTATTGATCTACTCACATTTACATGTTTTCGAACTGCCCTTCTACACTGCCATAAAAATCCAAATTATAAAAGCAGACAATCCACATTATCTGCTTTGAACTAGATTATAAGAGTCTACATTGCCATATAATACAGCTCAAAGTAGATAATTTGGATTATATGTGGCAGTGTAGAAGGAGGCTTAAAGGCATGTACACACACACACATACGTATATACACATATGGAGATACATTCAGTCACCCATCATCTTACCTTCATGAAGAAGCAATACTCTTTCCACCAAAGTGCTGGGAGAAGCTACATCTATAGGTCGTTCAAACTCTGTATTTTTGGCATTTATATCAGCCCCAAAGTCAAGAAGCATGCTTATTATTTCTGCATTGGATTGCCTTGCAGCTGCATGTAATGGGGTTTCCAAAAATTTCCCTTTTTGTACATTTGCACCTATTGATTCATTGAAAAAAAAGAGGGGAAGAGAATGTCTAATGAATTGTCACAAAGGTTTTTCCACTGGCGAAAAAATCCCAAACCCATCTTGAATAGACCACTGTTTGTCCCCACCATGCATAACGGCTTCTGACCAGTGGTTCCTGTCCTACTTTTTTTAAAACCAACTTTGAGCAAGGTCAGGAAATATTTTGGAGTTTCCAGAAAATTCTGGAGTATACACTCCTGGGTCATCTAGACAATTGCTTCTTAAAATGGGGTTACCTTAGCTCAGTTGTGGGGTCATGAAAATTTTCAGAACAGTAAAAGATTTTTGAACATCATCTAATGGCTGTTTTAAACTTTCACATGAATATATTGTGCACTGTTTACAGTGGACGCTGCAGAAGATACTTTTTCAGACAGAAAGGGGTTGTGAATGCAAAAAGTTTAAGAAGCCCTGGTCTATCTTAGACAATGGGCTCAAAATTGACACAAACATGCTGCATGCAGGGCAGTATAGAACCCACAGTCAAATCACAGATCCAAAACTAATTGATAGTCTCAACAAGAATAGTCTCACTTGATCAATGAGAACTGATTAAAGAATTGGGTTGAACAAAAAAGTGATAATTAAAACAGTATCAAGGTTACTGAACTTAATTATTAATTCCGTTTTTGAGGGTGGTGAGAAACCCACAGTGAACAGGAAGCTTTTAAACATACATACCTGAATAAAGAAGCTTCCGGACACATTGTTTATGCTGTGAAATGCAAGCCACATATAGCGGGGTTCCGAGGTGAGGAATATCTTGGTCAACATCTATGCCCCAAGAGATCAGCAGTTCCAGGCAATCACTATGGCCTATTCAAAAGAGAATGGAACTAATTTTCCAAACAAGACACTGCACTTATTTAAAGAACTTATATCTGATCTTTTTGCATGTAGCCTTATATTTCAGGCATGCTACATAAGGCAAAAGGATTGAGGAGCGAGGATACATTTTTAAAGCTAGATACAATTCTTGATCTATTCTTGATCTATTCTGTTGTTCTGGTTTTATACCTCTGCTGGCTGCTTCATGGGTCGGAGAAGGAAGACATGTCTCCCACTGAGCTTTGGCCCCGTACTCCAAAAGAAGCTCTACACAAGGTGCACTTCCTCTTGAGCATGCATGGAAGAGGGGGGTCATTCCATCAATCGTTGTAGCATTCACCTATAACAATATGAATATGTCTTTGAGTCAGAATAACATACTTGCTTAAATACTACATTTCTACATGGGAAATGTTTAGGATTCTTCTACCTTTTTTAAATGTCTTTGTTGCTGAGAAAATGCAGTGTAGGAATGGAATGTCTACCAAAACGGCTTGTAGCAAAGAGCAACTAGAGCTATTGTATGAATAAATCCACATATGTGCCAAGAAGAACCATATACAAAATAATCACGAGAAAACAATACAACACAAAATACACCCTGATAGAAGCCTGGAAGGAGGAATTAAGTTGTAGAGAGAGAGAAATAGATAATTGGATAAAATCAATTAATAAAATTAAACATTTAAAGTTTAAGGAAATGGAATGGAAAATACTTACAAAATAGTATAGAACTTCCATGTAATTGGATTATATAACAAGAATCTCCCCAAAACAGTGTTGGCATAACAGTGGAAAAACTGGAACATACACCCACATGTGGTGGGAATGTGAAAAAATACAAAGATTCCATTAAATAATTAAGAAGGAAATGGAGGAGCTGTTGGGGATAAAAATAGATTGGAACAAGGCACATTTTTTTGTCCAAAAAAATGCAAGGGCAATGGAAGACTTAAAGAATGGGAGGAAATAATAAAACACATGTTAGATGCAATTAAAGCCTCAGTTGCCCAAGGCTGGAAGGACCAAAAAATGAGATACAAAAACTTGGTATAAATATCTAACTGACTACCTACTGCATGACTATATTAGTGAAAGTAAACGTTATACTAGGATGGGCCAAACCAGAAAGACCTGGAAGGCAAATCAGAAGGGTCTCATTTCCAGAATAAAGGGGAAAGATAAATATAAGGAATGAAATAAGACTATCCTCATAATGTAACAATTATAATAAGCACAGCAAGATTAGTAAACTGCTCCCGGGGGAGAGGGGGGAGGGAGAAAGAGAGGAAATGATGTAAAATGGAATACAGGATGATGAAGAAAACAAAATGAGTACTTTTGAGAACCTTAGACAGGCGGTTAGACTGAACTACAGTCAAACTATTTCTGTATTGTGTTTAGACTAGAAAATAGCTGGAGAAACCAGGGGATCATAGTTGATCATACTGAGGTATAAATATTCAATAGTATTCCTTTAACTTTGTATTTTGTAAAGTGAACAATAAAAATAATTTACATAAAAAAGAAGAAGAACCATGGGGAAAGTCTTCACGATAAAAAAAACCCTCTGATGTTGTGTAGAAGATGACAACCAAGAGAAAGAAGTAGGGCAGGAACTTGTGTACCATTTTGAGCATCCCCAAAGTGTTCAGAACTTTTATGTTGAGACTCAGCGTCTGTCTGATGCACCTACTACCAGTTGTAGGAGAAAACGTGGCTTAGAGAATGATGAAGAGCAGCAGCAGCTGAAAAGGATCAGGGATTTGTTTCTTGAGACTACTGATGAGGAGGATTTTGTGGGCTTTACTCACGAGGAAATGGTGCTAGATGACTACAGAGGTGTAAAAAGAGTAGCCAGCAGCTCTAATAGTGATGTGGGGTCTGTTGCTAAACGTCTGAGAGACGTAGCTGACTGTGCAGACTTTGACAGCGAAGAGGAAGAGCTGGACTGGACTAAAGTTCAGGAAGTAATGGATGTTCTTAACGCCCCCACATCTAGCGATGAATTCCAGGGTTTTAATGATGTTACTTTGCAGGATGCAGCCCGAAGTGCTGAGTGGCAGCAATGGCGTGGCTTCAATTCACCTGAGGGTTTAGATCCAGCTGAAAGCAGCTCCAGCGATTCGGATGAAATTTAAGGAGCGGTTTGGGGACCATCTAATCGCAGAGTTCAAAGTGTCGCATGCTGTGTGCTTTGTGTTAACTCCTGCCGTGAGCTCTTGTTGCAGCTTCGTGTTCCTGTTCGTGTGATCATCCCTGCCGGACCCTGACTCGTGAGTGTGCCTTGTTCTGACCCTTGGACTGCCTGACTACGCCTCTGCCTTGCCCCAGAATCTTCGTTGGACCGCTCTCCATACGGAGTGTTGTTTGCTGATTTGTTATTGCTGTTTTGGACTATGTTTGTATGCTGAAGATAAGCTGTCTGTTTGTGTTAAAGACTGCCTTCCCTTTCGCTGACTCAAGCCGGTTTGTTTACATTATTGCTGACTGCAAGCTCCTTTTGTTTATCCCTCTGAAGTGAAGAGCCCTTTTGTTTTGTTAAAGAGACATTAAACACCTTCAATTAACTCCTGCATTGCTGTTTTGTCCTGCCGCTGGACCTGGGTCTCGACATTTTAAGTTAGTGAATTTTCCTTCTATCAACTGTTAATACTTGATCTGTCACTGTTTTGTTGTTCTTAATATATTATGATTTTACATATTGTGGTGCACATGGGAAGGTCTGCCCTAAAAAAAACTTGTTTAAGAAATTTTAAAGACTACTTTTAAGTAAATGTACTAAGTTACTCTTAATTCAGAATGTTGAACTGTTAGCATTAATGCTAAAATGCTAAAATTAAATAGTAAAGGAACTCTAATTTACCTTTGCTAAAAATTAAGTAAATGATAAAATCAATCTGTTTAATGTGTTGCTGTAGCAATACATTGGGCCCCCTGGTGGTACAGTGGGTTAAACCACTGAGCTGCTGAACTTGCTGATTCAAAGATTGATTCGAATCCGGGAAGCAGGGTGAGCTCCCATTGTTAGCCCCAGCTTCTGCAAACCTAGCAGTTTGAAAACATTCAAATGTGAGAAGATCAATAGGTACCACTTCTGCAGGAAGGTAATGGCCTCCATGCAGTCATGCTGGCAACCTGACCTTGGAGGTATCTACGGACAACATTGGATCTTCAGCTTAGAATTGTAGATGAGCACCACCACACCTCCCCAGAGTCAGACACGACTGGACTTAATATCAGGGGAAACCTTTACCTTTACTATATCAATACATTACGTTTCCAAGAGATAATCAGTAACAAATTATAGTAAAGAATAAATACTCAAAAATAATGTCATTGGCATTTTAACAATTCAGCATAGGAAGTACAGAATGAAGTAATACTTACGTTTGCTCCTGCTTCAAGAAGGAGTCTAGCACATCCCACATGATCTCCCAGGCAGGCTTCATGCAGCGGAGTCACTTGGTCAATGGTTAGAGCATCAACATTATATCCCTAAAGGTAACCATAGAAATAAACAGATGCTCCTTAAAGTTATTCAGCCTCTTGGAATGTAGCCACACTGTCAAATTAATGCAGTTTGACACCACTTAAACTTCCATGGCTCAATACGATAGAATTATGAGATTTGTAGTTTAGTGAGGTGCCAGTACTCATTGGCAGAGAAGGCTAACACCTTCATAAAACTACAACTCCCAGGATTTCATAGAATTGAGCCAAGGCAGTTGAAGTACAATGTTTCAAACCACATTAACTCTCTAGTTTAGATGTCTCCTTAGTTAAAATCTGCTTTGCCTAACAATCCCAGACACATACATTCTAATGCAGGGGTCCACAAACTTTTTAAACAGAGGGCGGGGTCGCAGTCCCTCAAACTGTTGGAGGGCCAGATTATAATTTGAAAAAAAAAAAAGAATTCCTATGCACGCTGCACATATCTTATTTGCAGTGTAAAAAAACACTTTAAAACAATACAATAATTAAATTGAGGAACAATGTTAACAAATGTAAACTTATTAGTATTTCAATGGGAAATGTGGGCCTGTTTTGGCTGATGAGATAGGATTGTTGTTGTTGTTGTTGTGTGCTTTCAAGTCATTTCAGACTTAGGTTGACCCTGAGCGAGGGCCAGGTAAATGACCTTGGAGGGCCGCATCCGGCCCCCGGGCCTTAGTTTGAGGACACCTGTTCTAATGCAATATATCCGTGGCAAGCATAGTTAATTGTCATTTGCAACCAATGCTACTGAATAACAGTGTTTATAAACCTAGAATAGCCCATCATCTGTAGCTGTTAGTTTGATTTTACAGCCCTATTTGAAACAACTGTAGACTCCTGTGTTTGGCATCATTATTTTACACTAAGAGCTACATAACAGTAGGCATTAGATTCATGTCAGGCTCCATAGGTTTTCTTCTTAACTTTAAAAGAATAATTCACAGTGTTGAACCCTATTCCCTAAATAATTTTAGCTTTTTGGATAGTTCTAAATCATAGAACAGACTTCCTGCAGCACTTATATTAAAGTCTTTGGCTACCACTTACTTCTTTGAGTAAAATGCTTTGCCATACAGGATAGTAAAATGGAAGTCTTTCTTCCCTAACTTATACCCTTGACTATTTTTGGAACTGTGGGAATCTAAAATTACTCAAAAATAGAGGTAAATTTTGTGAAAGAGCAGTACGGAATTACCGGGACTCTCTGTATGAGAAGAGAGAGCAAGACATGAGTTACTGGAAAATGTTAACAAGCCCATCTAATGATGGGCTTCCTTTGGAGTCCAGGTAGAACATTATCCATTTTGCAGACCTGTCTATATTCTGTGTTTATGTCATTTGGAACACCAATCACTATCATGAAGTAGATAGAAGAACATGGTGATTCTCTAAATTGTAGCATGCTTGGGCTTTTTTCCAGTGTTTTCCCAATAATATTTATATTTTTGCCTACTTTGACAATAAAAATATATTTCAGATGCTCAGCTATCCAAACTAATTTAAAGCTTTAGATCAGGGGTCCTCAAACTAAGGCCCAGGGGGCCAGATACGGCCCTCTAAGGTCATTTACCCGCCCCTCGCTCAGGATCAACCTAAGTCTGAAACTACTTGAAAGCACACAACAACAACAACAATTCTATCTCATCAGCCAAAAGCAGGCTCACACTTCCCATGAAAACTAATAAGTTTATATTTGGTAAAATCGTTCTTCATTTGAATTATTGCATTGTTTTAAAGTGTTTTTTTGCACTACAAATAAGATACGTGCAGTGTGCATAGAAATTCATTCATGTTTTTTTTCCAAATTATAATCCAGCCCTCCAACAGTTTGAGGGATTGTGACCTGGCCCTCTGTTTAAAAGGTTTAAGGAACCCTGCTTTAGATCATTTAGTTTTAGATCTACAACAACACCCACTTAATTGATGTTTTCTACAAATCAAAATGGCACAAGGATTTTTTCTAAAATTGTCCGTTTGCTGTGTTTATTCTTACGAAATGAGACTATATAAATTATGTCTTAATTTTTATTAAAATGTGTTAATCTTCACAACCATAACCATTTTGGCATGAACAAAAACATTTTCAGATAATACAATTTTTTACACAACTGAAAAATGTTCTAAGAGACATTTTTAAAAGTGGTTGAACTGTGCCATTTTAGCCCAAAGAAGTTTGAAGAAACGAAACAACAAAGATGATACCAAAATGTCATTTTCACTTTAACACTGGATACTAGTAAACAATGGGATGGGAAAAACATGCTTTAAGTATTTTATCTTTTTTTACCTGTGCAATTAAAGTCTTTAGAGAAAGAAGGCGTCCTTGGCTTGCTGCTTCATGTAACGGTGAACGATCTGCCCAAGAACCTATGGAACAATGCAACCATACAGTTTATAGAAACAGTTTTCCATTACTATAAAATAATTGATAAAAACTATACATATAAAGACGCAAAAATTAAGCATGCATTGTCCTCATTAAGTAAAGATGACATCCTTTGAGGGGCAGCAAATTAATTATTTTCTAAAGGCAGAAAAGTCTGGAGTTTCACGCTACTGCTTTTAAGGAAGGGATGGGCAATCCCCTCAGACTCACTCCAAGACCTCTTTTTTCTGGCAAAAAATAAGTGCATTGCCTCTCAAGGGAAAGTTTCAGTGATAACCTTTCACCTTTTAAATGAGGTAGACTCCTCCTGTAGTGATTTATGTAAAAAACTTTCCCCCCAAAAAACCAGAAGTGATTTTCACATGGTTCCTAGAAAGCACCAAGGTGGAGAACTACTTCCTGATCACACTGCAGTTGTCTATTCCTGCTTTAGTCCTTCACAGGTCTGACTTTAGCCAGATTGGTATTATTTAGATCAGGGTTTATTATATTTTTCCACTTGAGAAGTCTTTTGACCTGAATTTTTTTTACATGACCCAGATAAATAAATATATAAAATAGGTATAAAAATCAAACATTTACTGGTAACAAATCAGCACTTGCTAGACATGGTGATTTTTCTTTTTATGAAGTACAACTGAAGCATCTTCTGCAGAGTTCACTGCAAACACTTCTCAACAAATTAATGTAAACATGAAACACAGCCACTAAGTGATGTTCAGAAAACCTTTACTGCTGCCAATTTTGGGGACCCCAACATTGCACTATGGGTACCCCATTTGGGGTCGGGACCCACAGTTTAAGAACCAGTGATTTAGATAACAGAACATTTCCAGAAATTGAGATAAGAACAAAGTACAAGCCCTGCTGGCTCAAGCAAAAGGGTGATCTTGTCTAGCATTCTGTTTTCACAGGAACCATTCAAATATCTATAGGTCCTTAGAGGTAAGACAAGTGTGCAATCACACCCTCCCACTTTTGATCTCAGCAAAAAGCACACAAGACCACAAGACCTCTGATTCAAAGGACTGAGAAAACTCTGGTGACTGTCTAGTGGATTGAGCATGATTCCTCTGGAGCAATTCTCCCAAGTTCTTATTTATATTTGAACAACCCTGAAGATGAGTGGTTGCTGTATACATCTACTCTGGTGCATTCTCACTGCAGAAAATTCAGCACTGTCTTCTGCCAATTTGTTTTGCATCAAAATGCACCAAGCATATAAAGTACCCTATTAAATTTTTTTCAGACATTCTGAAATGTTACCAGTATTACAGATTTTGTTGAAGCCAGGACAGTGTTGGCAAGGTCAGTTTATCTGATGCAAACTATGTTCATCATCTATGTTATATTTCATGTTGTTGTTGTTGTTGTTACCTTGCATTTCTCAAAGACCCAAGACCCTAAATGAAACCAGTTCACGAGTTTAGCTCTGCTACTTCAAACAAACAAACAAACAAAACCTGCTGATATTACAGTTGTGGCATGATATTTGGTTATCTTCTTTTGCCAATACATTGCACTATGCCCCCATTCTGTGTCCACATACATTCATATACTCACATTTTATGGATGAAAATAGAAAAGGCACTAACATTCTGCTATTATGCTCACCCACATCCAGTCATATATCTTCCCCCCTCCCCCATTTTCAAGGCACGTCTTCACATGTTATATGCTGTATTCATTTACTCAACACAATCTGAACACCAAGCTTAAAAAGACAGTGATGTTTACAAACAGACTGTGTGTTTTCCTTTAAAAAATCTCATTTTTTTTCTTTTTAAGAAATATTTAAGCTTAACAGATCAGTTGTCTATGTAGAATATTTTCCATTTCTTCTCTCTACTGTCTATAATAGATGGATTTGGACAGAACTGTGCACTTGCATTTTCGATATAAATCTTATGCATAGTCAGCCTTCTGTATCCATGGAACCTGTGTCCACAGGTTATACCATCCAAAGCTTGAAAATCCAAAAAGCACTCATTAATTTTGCCATTACATATAAAGGATATAATTTTCCTATGCTAGTGGTTTCCAAACTTTAGCACTCCAGATTTTGAAGCTTCAATCCCCAGCCAGCTTGGCCAGCTGTCAGGAATTCTGGGAGATGAAGTCCAAAACACCTGGAGAACCAAGAGTTAGTAACCACCATTGACTTGAGCATCCATGAATTTTTGTATCCTTGGGAGATCCTGGAACTTAACCAAAGCATATACTAACTGTATTTAGCATATACTAACTGTATGGTGGTTTTGCATGATAGGGTTTTCTCTGTAGCAGCACCTTGACCATGAAATGTCTTCCTGAAAGGTCCATTTGGCTCCTTTCTTTCTAAATTTCCAGAGGGCAGCCACAACTGTATTATTTCAACTGGACTTCCATCAATACGATTTGGAGTCTCTGGCAGTTCTGAAGTTTTTTTTAGGTGTTTATGCTTCTAGAACTACCTTTAAAATGTATCTTCAAATGTATTTTGGTAATGTATTTAATTTTCAAAATATTTTTTGAAATTTCAGCCAGCATTTCCAGCGGGGACAGATATTGGAAGTGGCAGTGCAACAACATCTGGAAGGTCACCGATGATGTTAATTGAGTCCAAACCTCTGCACAAATGGACCCTGCAGTACAGCTTCCCTAACAAACTATATGGACTAGTGGAGAAGTATGCATCCCAACCTGGGTAAGGGTTAATATCTAGTAACAAAGAGAAGATAACTGAAATGTGAACAGCTCTTTTCAATTCTGGCCCCATCTACATTGCCAAAAGAAAATCCAGATTATCTGTTTTGAACTGGATTATGTGGTAGTGTAGACTCATATAATCCAACTCAAAGTGGATAATCTGAGATTAGATACTGTGTTACATGGCAGTGGAGATCCAGCCATTGTTTTATAAAGTCATCCCACAATGAAAATAATAGAGAATGCGAATTCTCAGAAATAAATAAATAATCAGGCACTGTTGCAATGTATGAGTGTGGTACTAAGCAATATATCCTTGCAGATACTGACTGCTCATTTATGCCATTATTAATTTATAGCAAAGTTGTAATAACATTCCTGTACTCTAAGTATATTCCTTTTGCAAAGGTGCAAGACTTTCCCTAAGGGGGTTATTGTGTTTCTAATCATGCACATGGAAGCTTTGCTATTAATGTTAATGGAGATAATACCACATTCCAAACCACCCTGGATCTCTTAAACAATATTTTTAAGGTAGTTTGGGGGGGGGGGGGTATTCAAGAATATTAGTCTATTCTCTTCTTGTGGTTCTTTTTTCTTTGACTGAAATGGAAAGTGCTGCTGCTATATTTAGACTCGGCATTCCAAGCCATCTGGTATCTAATATACGTGGAACAGAGCCGTCAGCTCCGTCAATACTGCAGAGGAAAGCTTAAAACACCACAACAAGCAGGCAAGGATAAGGAATAAATTAAAAATTGCATACAGTACCTAAATCTCCATCTCCCCAGGGGGTTTCCAGCCAATCGCAATTATAAATCCTGCTCATTTTGAATAAAAGAACCCCCAAACCCGTCCCCTTTAACTGATGCCTGTTAGTAGACTCCAGCCATTTTTAGAAAGAGCTCCCTACTCATTATAATACGAACTTTCACCTGCACAGTTAATGCAGTAAACAGATGCCCAAAGCCCAGGCTTTACATGCTCAGCAGGAATACTAAAAGCAATAGTGTGTGTGTGTGTGTGTGTGCATGTGTGTACATATTATCTCTTATGAACAGATATTTGGGCTGAATCCCGAATGAAAATCAGTCATCTGCTGCAAATTTATTTTATGGTTTGGGGTTGGGGAGATGTTTAACTTCAGTTTCTCATCTATACAACAGGAACAATTATCTACCTCCCATGACTATTGTGAGAGAGCAATGCAATAAACAATATATATCTTTTTGCAGCTCCAAAAATAGTAGAAATTATTGCAGGGTCATGCCATGAAGGTATAAGATAAATCTAATAAAATGTAATCAAGACCAAGGGCACTATCAGTTTTCCAAAACTGCAGGATTTTCCTTGCCCAGTGTCTTTTTGATCACATACAATACAGTACGGTCTCTGTATCTACGGACCAGTACATGTGATTTTGTTTTCCACATTAAATATATCATTTTTTTATATCCTGCAGCATGATTGTTTGGTATTCTTGGACCAGAAATCCTTTATTTCATTGGGGCTCCTTATTATCCATGGTTTCATGTATCCACATAAAGGCTAGGAAAATATCCCCCATGCACTGTACTTAGTTTTTACTGGTCAACAGGGTACTCACACAACATTTGGGGACTGCCACCTTCACCAAGAAACACAGATCCAGTCTCCACAAAAACTAGAAAAAATCTGGCTGGAGTTAAATGCTTAGAATGGAGCATTCGAAGAAAAGACTTTAAGTCTCCAGTAAACACTTCCCAAATCCAGCCAATACTGGTAATGTGGCCAAGACAAAAAGGATACGGTTACTAGTCATGTGTGAGAAATTTGTTCCTACCATTTCATTCATCTTTCGTGTCTTCCATTTCTTCAGAAACACGAAACAGGAAGCCCCCTACACAAATGGAAATGTACTCGACACAAAAGCCTGCTTTCATGTCAAGCTGAAATTGCCTCCTTGCCTGCATTTGGGAAGTGTGGACTGTGCCATAGGCACACTCCAGGCCTGCCTGCAGGCCCTGCCAGACACACACTCTCTCTGAGAGTATGGCAGGGCGTGTGTAGTGGCTGGTGAGGCCTGCAAATGGACTCAGGGCCTGCCTGCAGCTGAGCACCATACTCCAGAGGAGCAACAGCAGGTGCCAGATAAGAAGAACTTTGGGAAGCAGTGCCAGTAGGTGGGAAGCTCCCTCCCCTATAGTGGTCCAAATTTCAGGGCCCCAGTCCGAAAAAACCCCTCAGGAGGCTTTCAAAAACAAATTGGGGCACCCAACGAAAGCTGGGACAAGAAACGGGGCAAGGTTTGCCCTAAAAGCACAAGACTTAATAGTTACTTCTATTTCTCACTATGGTGAAAGAAATACCAACATTTGAAATCTACTCACACTGGAAAAATATGGTACGAGGAAAATTAAATCCCATTTCCCCAATTGCCGTTGTTCCAAACGGAAATACAGGGTATAGATCGTGATTTATGGAAACTATAGTAATATTAGATGGTCTCATTTAGTTTATGAGCCCGTAAGGTTTAGTGATTTGAGTGCTGAGCTGGGGCTTCAGGAGACCAGGGCCCAAATCCACAGTCACTCACAGAAACCCATTGGGTAAGTCATATTCTCTCAGCCTCAAAGGAAACCAATAGTAAACCCTATCCAAACAATTCTTGTTGAAAAACCTTGTAAAAGGTTCACCTTAGGGTTGCCATAAGATTCAAAATGACTTGAAAATCACAATAACAATAAACACAACAAAAGCCATGTACAGGCAGTCACCAAGTTATGAACAAGATAGGTTCTGTAGTTTGTTCTTAAGTTGAATTTTTTTGTAAATTGGAATAGGTACATTTACAAGTGTAACACCAATTAAAAATATTTTAAGTTTTGGATAGCAAAGGGCAGGGTTAATAGCAGTGTGGTGTTTTTTAGTCTGTGCCCCTATTCACAAGATTTCACCTCACTTTCTATGATAAGTGGATCTTGAAAAAATTGGCTTGTAGTAGAAACAAAGATTGGTGATAAAGCTTCAGTGGAGATACCTTTTCCCCATGATAACACTTCCAGAAGTGAATTTCCCTTCCTAGAGGCAGATTTCTCTCAATTCTTGTTGTCTCATCTTGTTCTTAACAAAAAGTCAGATGATTGTAACTTGGGGGACTGCCTGTACAGTCCGTTCTCCACATTTGCTGGAGTTAGGAGCAAAAATGAAGTCACAAATAAAGAATGCTATTTTTCTATCTCTCAAGTAATATCAAAGTCCTCCAGTGGTCAACTTCCACTGGAGATGTTTTCTCTAGGATCTCTAGGGACACATTTACATTAATCACTTAGGCCAGTGTGAGTTTGGTAAGCCCAGTAGGGTTCATTTGGGTTAACCCCAGGAAAACAGCTTGACACAGCTTTCCCTTGGATTAAGTGAACTTGGGTGAGCCAGGATTCAGGTTGTGCCCCAAGTTAGGGCCAATCAACTAGGTCAGTTCCTACTCCACCAACATTTTAAACAAAAGTATACAAAGTTAAATCCATAAAAACAAAGCCAACAAATGTGTAGGGTCACATTTGGTTTAGCATAAGCTTTTAATATCTGCTACCTAACACATAATATGCTAGTGTGGTAAACAGATGGTATTTATTATGAATGAATACATAAACAAAATTCAAAGGAAGAAAAGACAGAAAGAATTGTTACAACATGATAATACTTTCTATTTTTTTGCAGTCTCTCAGGAACATGAATAAAGTGTATACTTAGAATAATCAGAACTGTATTGATTTAAATAGCCCCTTGAAACATTATATAAACACACTTTTGCCTGTTTCTTTGAATATTTGCTACAGACAATAGCAAATGTTCAAAGAAACACACTTTTGTCTGTTTCTTTGAACATTTGCTATTGTCTGTTTCTTTGAACATTTGGATACATTTCCCCCAAATATGGAACATCTAAGATCTGGATTAGGAGGATCCACATATGTTGTTGATGCTATAATGAAAAGGAAAATCTCAATCCTAATATTCTAACATATAGGGAGCATCGCAACCAGTCTGAACCTAATTTGGAGCAAATGGATTCTATACAGTCGGGTAATTTCTAATGACCTAGAAATAATTGGATGGCCAGATGGACGATAATATCTATGTGAGCTGGTTTGAGGGAGCATAATTGACAGGAACACTAGATTGTTGATTTTACAGCTTTCTTCTTGTAATCTAGCATAATTTGTATGACTTGCAATATTTCTGAAGCCAGAAAATCAATTCTATATTCATTTTTGTGACATGTTTAAATTTCACCATTCTTTAAAGGTCCCCTGCCTTGTTTATCTCCACTTGTACATTTGCATAAAGGGTTACTCCACCCCTTCCACGTTGTAAACAATCCTCGGTACTTAGTAACACTGGCTTTACTTTGCATTATATATAATGTGGCTTCAATATTTGCAAAGGCAGAATGCATTTGAAGGTAATAATTAATGTGGTATTAATTAAACAGAATAGACTAAAACAAGTGCATACACACGGCAACTTAACATGTAACATAAGATGAATATTTAAACTTAAACCTTGAATATTCTTTTAAAAACACCATTTTAAATAGGTGATGCAAAAACTGGTTACATTATCAAATTCTAGTGCCTGACCAGTTGGCTAAATTATTGCTTTACTGACCTTGGCTGGTGAGAATACCCCAGCTAGCTTTTCGTTTTGCAGGACATTCCCCTATGCGTTCTAGGCTTCTCTTTGAGGGATTCTGTTTATTGCAGCTCTTCACAACCGCAGCATTGGTGGACATAATTTTATCGGGTTATTTCCCCTCCTGCCAAGACCTGTGTGTCATTAATGCAGATGCTCTCCCCTGAGGAACGCCCACAAACTACTTTCTCTCCTCCTTGACATTTGCTCACAAAGGGTATGCTTGTGCTTGCTCTAGGACAGCTTCCTGTAGAAAAGCTTGTACGCAGAAACCAATTCAGCAACATTTAGAAGCAGGACTGTCCTCTAGAGCGCAAGAGGGAAAGGATTGCGCTGGCATGTTCTATTTATAAAGCAAAGGGGAAAAAAAATCAGCTTAGCTGCAGCCTGGGTCTGTTTACATCACGTAGAATAGGAGGGAGTATTTGGTTTTTGCTTAAAGAATTTTCTCATATTAGTTCTCTGTAAATAAAAAGGGGAATAATAAAAACCTACCCACTAAAGATCTTTGAAGACAAGCATAATATTAATGATAATAATGATTATGATTATGATTATGATTTTGCAGCACTTTACAAAATTAAAGCTATAGGATTCATGGCTGTGTTAACTAATATTTGCAACTGAAATGAGATTTAATATGGAAACAAATGTTTATTTTAATGCTTCAATGCTGATATAGTATTAAAAAGTCTGAAGATGTTTGCTGGAAATATAGCTCCTAGAACCAGGCATAAGAAATAAGAATTATTCTTATTTTTCCGACAAACTCATGTGGCATACACTGACTCAAAAAGCAGCATGAATAGTAGGTTTCCATAAATGAGAGTAACTATCCTTTAGCCATGGCACTAAATAATTATGCTGTGATGCTGGAAGCAAATGCATGAATAAGCAAAGAGGAGAGACGAGTCTAGGATAAAGTTACAGCACAGATTAACTAGAGCACCGATCTTGTTACAGAAGTGAAATGCCTAATAAAAGAGGTACTTATCTTGTGGGGTTTTGTTTAACTAACTTAAGCTTCTGCAGGTACCAACACATTTGAACAGGTTTCCATTTAGGAAAGGAAGCTTAAACATTTAGGTTTGTAAACGGAGGTCAGTGTACACAGATATGTAATACGATATGTTAAGAAGGAGTGTTAAATCTATTCACCAACCCACATATCTTAAACTTTTACATCTGGGTCCCTGTTAGCCTCTCTTCCTGGGCCTCTGTCAAATGTCCTCACTCTCACTGGTGAAACATTTGACTAGATGTGACTGATTGTCTTGCGGTTTCCATTCATGGTGAGGCCATCCTCCTAGGAAATGGTTTGCATACATCCCAGGGCCCTTCCACACTGGCCCAAATGTGAGTGAAATTGTCATCTTAAATGCCAATTTTCAAGCTACATGGGAGGTGGGGGAATCCCGCATTTCTGGCAGGGGAGGTGGATAGATATCCACCTATGATGATTCCCAATTGTCACCGGAGGGGGATATGGCCACTGGCCCCTTGCCTCGTTTCATCCAAAAATCTACTATAAATGCCTCAGGACTGAAGCACAAAGCTTCCACAGAGCTCCTATCATGTCAAAATGATGCCAGGAGCTATGGAGGGGGACTTGTCCCCTCCCCTCTCCAAAGCTCCCGGAGAGTCATTTTCACGTGACAGGAGCACCAGGGAAGTCTCATACCTTACTCCTGAGGCATTGACAGTAGGTTTTCGGGTGAAACGAGGGGCAGGGAGGGATGGGGGACATTGGCATCCCTCCTTCCCAGGGTGCTTGAGCACGTGGAGACTGCCCACTGGGATTACGCATGGCAATAGCAGGAAGAAGTCCCCATAGCCTTTCCCCCACCCCGTACCTGCAAAGATCCAGCTCTTACTTCAGACACCCCAGGCTAATGCACCCACTTCATCGTATTAAAGGGACAAATAGATTGGCCCCAGATATAATGTTGAAGGAGATATGGTAACTACACATTTAAATGCATGCCTGTATGTACGTGCATGAAAACATATTCATGCTTATATACGTAATAATATGCACCAAAGCTTGGCACTTTAAGGAACCACTTTGGCTTGTTTGCCTGAGACTCCCAGTAACCCTAACCACACAGGGTTGTGATAGAAGCTAAAAACTCCAATCCAACACCACCACTCCTCCCTTAAATAGGCACAGTATTTTTTTTTATTTTATTCCCATAGGTCTTCATCTGAACACAGGACTTTAATGCTATCAGGCTGCACCCCCAGGGAATTCTCACCTATTAGTTTTTTTGCCTCTCAGGAACTGACAGTTCTTGACACCACTACCATCAGACCGCCTTAGACCTGCCTTAAATGCAATGAAAGCCAACCTGAAGAAAACAATGTATGAGTCAAGGCAAGGGGAAAAGAAGAGAACCATGTGTGAATATTTCAGATCCTACAAAACTCTTTGAAGTTAATGACCAGTGCCCCAACTGAATCTTTCTGTAATCCCATAATTCTCCAATCATCTCCTATAACTAGGTAGCCCTGCTAATATATCTAATGCTTGAATGTTGCACAGAACTGGATTGAATTACACAAAGTTAATGCTTCCGTTACTTTAAAAATTGCCAGTAGACTCCTTCTACATCAGGAGTGAGCAACTGTAGAAATCTAGGGGGAAGCATCAGCTTCCTAGGAGACCTTGGAGGGCTATACCTCCTCCTTCAAATGTACATTTATCTCTAAAAGTTTCTAGGAGACATGAAGCATTTTCACCATGTTTCTAAAAAGGTTTCTACTGGGAATAAATTGACTCAGAGGGCTTGCCAATACACCCTCCATACCTCCTAGTGGACATTTTGGAACATTTAAAGGCAAAAGGGATTTTTAAAATGTAAAATTTCCTTTTTATTCCTGAGGTGTCCAGGGGGGCTCCAAACATAGTAGAAATGCCATCATAGGACCTCATCAGATGGGGTGAAAGCGCCCTTGAACGCTTTCACCCCATCTAATGGACAGAGCCCCAAACAGACCATTACACAACATTGTGTGACTTCTGGCAGAGGCTCTGCCCATAACCAAGGTGAAACTGTTGCCGGACACTTTCCCCACAATATGGGGGGCTTCCTGTGTTGTGCTAATTCCAATGAATTCACCCATTGCCTCTCTCCTTTCTCAGCAAAGCCAGGAGAAGCAGGAGACTTCACTTGGCCTTTGTGATGAGTGCATCTAAGGGAATTCTAGAACAAAAACATTGCATGTGCATGCAACAGACCCCTGGATGGTTCAGAGAGGCTGTCAAAATAATGATCCTGGGGCTGCATGAAGCCCATGGACCACACTTTGTCTACCACAATTCTACGTGTATACTGAACAAGCTGTTTGAAAACTACACTAAGGAAAGCGTAGACGAAAAGTGGGAAATGTCATTCAGAAAATGCAACATGGTACCCCTAAACCATCTCTGTAAGTTCATCTGACTCACTACAATACAGAAAGTTTCTGCACATAAGGGAAATTTCCAGGAAAGAGACCAAATTCAATCTGCCAAGCTTCTCAAGTTGGACTATGCCATGAAATCTTCCTTTTTAGAACCTCCATGTTGCAACACTCAGAGAAGGGAGAGTGGAGTAGGAGTGCAGCTTCTAAGCCACAGCCTTGAGGAACAGCTGCCTGATGTCTAAGTTCAGTTACTTTTGCATCTTCTTAACCTTTACTGAGAAGGAAAAGAAAATGGAAAATGAAAATGCAGCGTGAGCCTTAAGGACTCCTTGAGACCAGTTAAGGACTTTATTCACACCTTTTCTTCTGCTCTTTGGAAAGATAAAAGGAAGGAAAAGCCAACTCACTAAGCCTATGCCTCAACAAGCCTTTCTTGAGTCACTGCTCATTTGGGAACTATCTTAGGGCCCTTCCACACAGCTGAATAACATTTCACATTTTCTGCTTTGAACTGGAATATATGGCAGTGTGGACTCAGATAACCCAGTTCAAAGCAGATATTATGGGATTTTCGGCCCTAATATTCTGGGTTATATAACTATGTGGAAGGGCCCTTAGTTTGAATGAACCACAAGGTTTTAGTCTACTTAGCTCTCAACGCATGAAATTCACAGTTAAGCCATGCTTGACCATAAGAACCCACCATTCTGTAAAAAAAGTTCCATTCCCTGAGAGTGTCTTTTGCAGAGTGACTTCACCTATGTTTTCTCTTTCCCAATCATAAAAGGGAAAAGAGAAAACATAGGTGAATGGCAAGAGTTATGAATGTTTCTTTGTATATGGAACATGTATCAATTTTAATATCATTATTATCATTAATAATAATAATAGTCTTTCTTATTTGCCTCTTCATGGTCACAACATAGCTAAAAATACATAATCACTATATAGAAAACACACATTAAAACTTATTTCTACAAAATACATATATTAGGATGCACAGAACAAAGATTCAAATATAGTGTGTTTAAAATTCATGATTAAAACTGGCTGGGTAGGCTCGGATGAGATCTAGGCAAATACACTGAGGCTACATGTTAGTACTGACGGTGGTCATGTACATTTTTCTCATGCTTCTAATTGTGCCTGTCCAAAAACAGCTTCCCCAATCCTAAATCACTGCTATTCCTGTGTGTCATTGTTTCCAAGTTATGGTGTCCCTAAGGCAAACCTCTGATGATGTATTTTCTTTAGGGATTTTCTGGTGCCATCCTTTGACTTGCCCAAGGCCACCCACTGGGTTTTCAAGGACAAACAGGGATTCAAACCCCATGTTTCCAGGGTTTTAGTCCAACATTCAAAACTATTATGCCATAATAAAGAAACCACAGGTCACATCTTTCGTTGCTGAAGTATTTACATCATAGCTTGGGGCGGGGGGATGATTAATGCTGGTGCCTTGTATTTTACACATGCTGGACTGAATATGCCACATTCCTTTCATGACCACTTAAAAGTCTATTGTACCTAGAAAGCCAGGATGTGTCTATATGATTTTTATTAATAGAACTATGAACTATCTGGAATGTGAACTAGGAAAATATCTTGTGCTATTTTCCTTCTCCCAACAACTGTTGTTGAGTGACATTATCAGTTGCAATTGTTAAATGATGTGGTAGGAAAACATTACTTAACATTCATAACTGTATGAATACAGTACATATCTTCAGATAACTCAACTAGAAATATGAATTACTAAATAATTTCCAGAGATCAAAGAGCAGCTCATATGTCATTAATACTAAATAAGAGAAGTAAGAACAATCCCATGTATATTAGAACCACATTACTATTGGAAACCTAACTAGAAATAGGAATTACTAAATAATTTCCAGAGATAATAATAATAATAATAATAATAATAATAATAATCCTTTA